GCCAGCGTGGCGGAGTAGTTAATTTCCGGGAGTAAAGTTATACTATTGTAAAGTTCCCGGCGGAGAGCCTGTGCTAGGAGTGTAGGGGGAGAAGGGTTGCCCTTGCCGTACATATTGCATTGTCAGTCCGCGTGGCGAACTTTTGTCCTACCGCAGTCGAAAGGAGGAACGGATTTCTGGTGTACGTACTACCAGAAAAGTCACCAAAGCTAGCTTTTTGGAGCTAGAATTTTTGCGAGGGCCCTTGTGTATCAATCTAGTTTTTTGGGCCAGACAAGTTTCCTAGGACCGCATGGTCCCATATTTTGAAGATTTAAACTCGCAGGGCTTGTGAACACCTCGGTTCGTGGATGCGCGAGATCAGTGTGTTTCCTCTGCTGCGATCTAGTCTTCGTCAGCACTGTTCTCAAGTTTCCATGTCATTCTCCATTCTCTCATTCCTTGCAACAACCAGCAAACATAGCGAAGGCCGCAGCAGCGAGCTCGACTGATCCAGAAGACGTCGATCAGTGCGAACAGAAGCTTCGTGACTTGGTGGATACATGTCAGTTTCGATTTTGCACACAGTTGGAAAACACGCCTTTCCCAGGTAAACACATATCCCATGTTCTACCCCACTACCAGACTGTTTTGCAGACCCCTGGGCAACGAGCTTTCCAGATGCGATGAAATGTATTTGAGTTGAAGCCATGAAGTAGCCAAAAGCACTGCGCAGCAAGTTGAAGAGAGCACCGATTAGGAATTTTGTGAATTGTGTAGTGAGCTCTAGTCTAATCTCTTAGTATCCTCCTTAATAACCTCTCCACTGTAAGGAGTTTAGGTTAGTTTATAGCTCATGTGCTGAGGAACGACGACCCCCATTGCCTGGGAAGAGCTGCTCAGTGATGATGAGCTCTGGTCAGACAGTTCGCCAGCCATGAAAAAAAGCTGAACCTTCAGCTGGTAGTTTCCTTAACTATGGGAACCCCATTATAGACTGACCCTCAAATGCTATAATTCTTATTGTGGGGACACCAAATGATACCCCAAATTGTGGGAAAACCTTTTGGCAGATGCCTTGCAGCTTTTTCCACAGCCGTTGCATTTGGGCCAGTTCAAGCTTGCATGTACAAATCATGCAAAATTGCCTTGCCAAAGTCTTCTGTCGATCTAAGAAAGAGGAAGCAGAGGCTTGCTTGTTCATCGCGGCTAGGTCAGAAGGAGGGGACGAGTTGTCATTTTACAGCGTAGGTCCTCCTACCTCCACAAAACTTACTTTGTTATAGGTGAAAGGACATTACAGGCTCTTGAGATCGTAGAACTATACGCCTTAAACCTGTCACGGCAGCCTGCGACAGCTGCACTCCCCTCGAAGGGTGCGCCTGCAGCTTGTTTTGTGAGGTAACACACATAGGGTTTCCTAAAATTAGGGTACCATTTGGGAGTCCCCTGAATTTAGATAAAGATCGTAGTATGTTCGGATCCATATTGGGTTCCCCCCAATTGTGGAAAGTTACCATACCCTCGCTGAGGAATTCCAGGAAAACAATCATGTCAGTTCTGATCTGCCAGGAGTGCGTCATGTTGCTTTCCTGTTAGGATGCCTGTTCTAGAAAGTGCGATCGGATTGCTTCGGGCTTGAAGAATCTGAACAACGCTTTGATCGGACCTGCGTAAAGCAATCCGTCGTCCACGTTCGGTGCTAGTACCTGCAAGACATGGCAGGAACGTCTTCAGGCTTGCCCTCTCTGGCAGCTGAAAGAAAGACTTAAGCGGTTCTCAATACAGACGTCCGTTGCTTGGCAAGATCAGTAGAGAGGTGGCAGTTGGGAGGATATAAAACTGCGAGTACCGTGGCAATGAGTCTAAACATTGCCACTCCACAGAACGCTCCAGAAAGTGCTACGAATATGATGGAGAATGGCTGCTGTTGCCTTGGGGATTGGGGCTATCCTAGCCTTAGCCAGCAGGGAGAGCAGCTATCGGCAGAGATCCCGTACAGATTGCATGCTGGAAGATTTAAATGAGATCCTTGAGTTTGAGGCAATGTACGGCCTCCGTCTCATCAATAACTTCTATGCGGACGGATCATTTTTGGCAGTTTGAGAGACATGCTTGTGCTGTGTCCGAGCGGCTGGGATCAACTTGATGGATGTTGGTCAGTTTGCCAAGGAAGTCATGCATGAATTAAGAGAAAGCACTTGCCAGTGCCCTTTCACCATCCTTTCTCCATCTCTTCTGCATCAAGACTGCAGATGAAGGGAGTGTAGAGATATGCAGAGGTCCTGCACTTTGAGATGAAGGGCGTTTTTGGCCTCATGCACCAAAGTGCTGCAGGACTTTGCAGGCAGTCGTTCGGACTTTGTGATCGTTGGCCATCCTGAGTACAACCTCGGAAAGGCGATGCTGTTTTCACATGTTTGGGTACGTCCAAGCAACGTGTACTACAGTCGAAAGTTCCTGAAAGGGGGGTTATATGGGGGAGTATATAGGAGAGTATCGTAGGGGTAATTAAGGTGGGATATTAGGAGTTCAGACTATAGCTCACATGTTATTGACAGCGGGGGCTTCTTTTGAATTGCATGATGGCTCGCATGCCTTGCAAACATGCTTGGACTCCGTTTTGGGCTGTTGAGCGTGCAGGCGCAGTCCGACTATGGCTACAAGGCCCCTCTCCTCTGCCGAAGAGAGGCTAACAGGAAATATGAAGAATGAATCGTAATACTACTATCCTGGTCAGTATTGCTATGAGTAATCGTCATCATACTGTCAGTATGAGTAGTAGTCAAAAAATGTTAGAACTTTCATATTGCTCGTAGTCTTAGATTTATATATATATATACACATACATGAACAGTTACATCAGTTAAAATGGAGTTTGTTTGAGAAAGATTCCGCGCAGACAAGGAAGGTTGGGACGACCGACCCATCCCATCGCTGCGGCCAAGGAGTGCCAAACTTCTTCGGTTTAGGGTTTGGGGTTTGGGGGTTTAGGGGTTTAGGGGTTTAGGGGTTTAGGGTTTGGGGGTTTAGGGTTGAAGGGCTTAAGGTTTAGGGTTGATATTCATGCTTTGGGCGGCGGTTTAGGGTTAGTTTCCTTGTATAGTTCCCCTTGAGTAGATAGAGTATGGAATCGCCCAGTATCATAATAAGATCCCACATACCCTGTGTTCTATCTACTTATATCATGATCCCTTGCGGTCACTACCAGTGGGTGGGGGCCCATCCTAGCCCTAAACCCTAAACCCAGTAGAGTAGTATTTTATTTGGGGATATTATGGTACCCATTATAGAGTAAGATTTTATCCTCCTTTTGGGGTATAGTATCTTATATACTGGTTTAACAAGCACAAAAAGCGCTACTCATTAGGAATCATTGTGGAAGCCTGAGATATCCTAGGCCTAAACCCTAAGCCCCAAACCCCTAAACCCTAAACCAGCCCTAAACCCTAAACCCATTAGGAATCATTGTGGA